ATTCAATTTCGATTGTTTCAATTTCGACATAAAAGTTGTAATATTCTTAATATGTTTTTAATACATTTTCTTATTGCATTTTTATGAATTTCAATATTTAAATATTTTTACAAGTTATGCCTCAAAAAGTGCAAAGAGCAAAATGTACTTTCGAATGGATCGTTTGTTGACGAGATTCGCTATTCTGACAAGCTCATGGAAATTCGATATCATTGAAGGAAGATTACCGGTAATAAGCAGATGGTAATATTCTTTTGCATCACTGAGAGTACAATGGGTTTGTGATGTCGTAGGATCCAGAAAGCAAACAGAATATGAATGGAGCCGACTCGTTGCACGAGCAGATCTTATCGCGATGAACTGTCAAGGGTGGATCACTGGATTGCTCTTATCCCTGCTTGCCCGAATGTTCATCCCTTTTGACACGCAACCCGAGCTCAGCCTCGATAACATAATAATGGTAAAGACAGCGCGTGGTGATGCTGCGATAAATACAGACAACTATGAAAAAGATTGGGGTTTGTTATATACCAAAATATTTATAATCTTCTAAATTACTATATATATTTATTATTTTATGGATATATTGTAATAATGTTTATAAATATCTTAAGATTCAAGATAATGAATATCCGCTTGTAGTTCCTTGAGAAATTTAAAAAAATATAGATTTTTTTTTCTTTAAAATTGTATACTTTGTTCTTTTTGTAAATTCAAATTATACCGTGCATATAATGCGTCATATTAAGTTCTATGAAAGAGCACGTGTTAAAAAACTACGTTAAGAGCACAATGAATTAAAAACGCATCTCTTTATACAAAATAAGGATTAAAAAAATCAAGAGATTATAAAAGGATTATAAATTTATCAAAATTTTGTATATAAAAGTCTATTATTATTTTTAAATATTAATATTTAAGTAATACTATTATAATATAGTTAGATTAACAGCAATTAAAATTATTATATTGTATTTTGATAGATTAAAAAGTATTTGCAAATTCTATTTTTCTTGTTTTTATTGTGAATTTAAATGAGTATAGAATCTAGATGTTTATCTCTGTTTAATTTTTGTATATTTTTCTGTAAATGTAGTTTATGAAATAAATTTTTCTATAAAGACATGAAATTGTAATTTAAATTTTTATATTTCAATTTTAAACAATGAAGAAATTACACATAAATTATAATTAATTATAATTAATTAGAAAATACACAATTTGTGTATGAAAGACGCATATTCTTTTAATAAATTATACATCGGGGAAATTAACGTGTTATTGTAACAACGCGTTAGAGCCGTGTGCAAGTGAAAATCGATACCCTTCTATGGGAAGCCAAAGAAACCAGTATTTGAAGAAAAACGATTTTGTATTGTACCCACGTTGTAACGTTTGCAATACGGCACGCGCCACCCCTGCCACGTGCCAGCCAATCTAAATCTAATAACACAAACAGCCTCACAATACGTGCATCATACACGCCATCGTTTGGCGGTAGGATGTAATGAGACACCATGTGAACTAATCGCTCTGGAGTGGTCCTTCAGATCTTGTTTCGCTATTTGTTGATCACGGTCTATTCTCTCTCTTTCCCTTGAGACAAATAGGTTCCCACTTGAGTTTGATAATCAACGTATTATAGAAAACAATTTCTGTTCTTGCCTTTACAAATTTCTTATTTCATGGTATTAAATAATTGGTCAGATTTTTCATACATGTTGAAAAGATGTAATATTATAATTATTATTTTTATAATAATTGTTAGAATATTTTTAATTAATTCTATTAAAACAATGTAAATAATTTCATGTATTATTTTCTCTTAGTCTCTTGATTTAAATATTATTTTCAAAGATAAATAAAGGTGTTTGTTACCAGAAATTTACATTTCTTTTCTACTCATTTCAGCTGTACTAATTTTTAATTATTAAATCTAAAAATTTTTCATAAAATATAAAAACGTATGTATATGTTATATAAGATATATTTTATTGATAAATTTAAATTTTTTCTTTGATATTTATTTAAAAAAAAAGTTAAACTATTAAAAAAGAATTAAAACATACTTACATTGAGGATTATACCGCTGTTTTAGCTAAAGATGAGATGGGCAAAGAATCAAAGACGGTATAAAAACATTTCTATTATCAAGATTTTTAATTCTCTCAAAAAGTAAGTTTAATTTATTTCAATATACACCGACGAGTGTGTCTATACGCACGAGTGTGCATATCATGTGCGTACAAGAACAACGCGTCTCATAAAAGATGACGTGACGTGATTGAACCAAAGTACAATCAATATACATATATATAATATATATATATATAATCAACATCACATGATCACAGAGCGCTCGGCTCCGGGACGAAGAATGCACTTTCTAGAAGAAAAGTACATACCAAGTCTGTCAATATGCAAAAAGGAACTCTTCATAATAATAACTTTTAACGGTATCTTCGTTTTGACAAACGATACGATCTACGCTCGTAAAATTGCTGCAAAAGTTTTGGACTAACTGGGAATTTCAATCTGGTATATGCTTCGTATACTTTCGTGAGTTGTATGAGATTTGTTTCGGGCCGGCTTATCAAACGATCCAAATCAACTATATACGTTTTATACAGGTCGCATTCGATCCAACTTTTTAACGTTTTTGGCCTGATTTCTTTGCTAGATATTGGACATTTATCTAGATTTCGCTCTAAAGCGAGGAATGAAACGGATTGCAACAAATTCAATGTTTCATCCGCAAAATAGATATGGAGACGTAAACTTGTGCATTCCTGATCGGAATTACGTTAAAAGATTGGATGCCGCTGACGCAATTATACGGATACGCTACGTACATCCTACGTTTATTTACATCTATGTATAATAATTTTCACTCTAAAGTGACGTCAATGTCATTTCGTTGGATTCTTAGAAATAGTTTTCTTTTTGTACATTGTAACAATATTTACAAGTATTTTACAAATTACGTTACACGTTACACTAACTAGGCGATACTGGTTAGTCATAAATTGCAGGGTAGGAAGTTAAAATTTCGAAGTCGAAAATGCTCTCTAAAACTATGGTATCTGTTATTTATCGATAAGCGATATGTCCGTCGAGTGGTGTCAATTTCTTTCCATCTTCATCAGCCTCTGTTTGAATGATATAAAATATTTGATACCATCTCAGCTTTCTTGCTCGGTTCATGCAATTGGCTTTAAAAATTTACAAATCATTAAATTTTTGTTTAAAATAAAGATTTTAAATATTCTGTGGTAAATATTGTTTGTTAATAATATTATAAATGAATCAAGCGTATTATTATTATTATTATTATTATTATTATATTAATGATAATAATAAAAAGAACATTTCAACATAATTATTATTGAAAAGAATAGCTTTTATATATTGATCAAGCAAATTGAATATTGTAATTTAATCATTATTTAATTTGTTTAAACAGAGAAATAATTTCAATAAAAAATATATAAAATTTATATTATAAGCATATTTTTTAATATCAAAACAAATTAAATTATTCAAAATTATTATTTATACAAGAATGTATATTAATTATAAATTCTTAAAATTGTTGTAAAATAAAATGAAAAATGTTACATTTATAAGTACAAATACCATCCGAATCATGACCGAGCTCTTAAATTTATAGAAAGACACCTTCTCGTTGTTCGATATGTATCGTTTCTTAACTAATACGATCATTGATGATCGTTACAAGTGAGTTGTCTTAGATTTTTGCACTGATTCGCCTGATTCTTTACGAAATTGTTGGTTTCAACTCCGACGAAAATGATGATGACACATATGATTCTTTTCCCTTTTTACTAACAAGTCAAAAGGAAAAGGAGCCACGGATAAAGTAATTCACATTCGTGAAAGCAATGTACGTACGACAATGCGATAATTATCTGGATTATTTATGTAATTATTATCCGAATAATTATTCAATTCGCATATACCAATTCGTTGAATTGTATAATGTTTCCATGAATGCTACAGTTTACGACATTTTCGTCGGAGCTTACATCTCGTAGCACTATTTGCCATTTGACGAGAGCAGCGGACTGGTAGCAGCTGAGTATCCTTGATTGCAGGTGGGTAACATAAATGGATTCATGTTGAATGGTGATCCGACCACTTCTCCTAATCCTGCAACATGCCCACTGTCGGTTATATATTAGTAGTGCTATAATTATGCTATAAGTTAAATGCTATGGTACAATTAATAAATAAAAAAGCGGCGAAAAGCACACTAATTTTATATTTGTAAGTATAAAATTATTTGAACAAAGTCCTACAAATTTTTTATAAATTAATGTTAAAATATACTTACAAAACAGAAGAAGAAAAAGAAAAAAAATTGTTTACTTGATAAAAAAATTAAAAACAGTCGTAAGATGTACATATTTTCTTATTTTTTGCGGAATTATTATTCGCAAATTTGTTTATTCAATAATTATGTTTAATTAAAGCTTTTATTTCTTGAGACAAACGTGTGCAATTGAAGATTTGTATTTGTTCTTGATAACTTGTCAAATGAATAGAGAAAGATAGCGGGTGGTATATGTCAAAGTTTCTGTTTATATTGAGACAAAATTATATATAAAAATAATTTTATTCATTTTTCAATTGCTTTATGATATATGCGTACGTATATCATATTAAAAATTTATATAAATACAGTTTATTTTGTCTATTATAAAATGTGTCCACTAATTTTGATAAAAAAATTATAATTAAATATTGTAATTGCAAATAATTCATGATTAATTAAATCAATTATATAAATATTTAAAAACGCGAAAGGATCTTATGAGAAAAGCCAAGGCTTAAATTCGACTGGAAAATTAGCAATTTTCTGTGATTAAATTAAGATTACTACCGCGTCGTAAATAAATGTACATACATTTTCAAATGTCGTCTTTCATAATTCTTTAATCGCAGTGCATAGGGTGATGGTGATGGTGATGATGGTGGTG